TTCGATATTTGAGGTATTCCACACCTTGAAAGGTATGATTAATTTTCAATGGGGTTCAGAAAGGTTAAAGCATTTTAGTTTATCTCTAGCTATAATCAAATGATACAGTCATTTCAAAACTTTCAACTAGAGAAACACTTGTGTTTTTGCTAGCTTTATATCTCAAATCTAAGACCAGAAAGCAAACCAGACTTGAAATCTACTGCATTTCCACTAAACCACTTACCATAGTTTCTTTTTATTTATTAGGGTTTACTACTGTTTTTCTGTTGTTCAGAATTAGTTCTTTACAAATACAACTTTGTAACTCAATAAGAGAATGAGGGTTTGAATTTCCGATGGTATAGCCGTCTTGGCAATTTGATTTGTTAACAACCATAAATAATTCTAAAATAAACGAACAAGTAGACGAACTGACAATAAAGAACTGTTTTCTTCACCTAACTCTTACAGCTTACATCAAGTACTATCCACTTGTTTATCTAAGGAGTTACTCAATTTATTCTATTATAATCCTAGATACCAACCGAAGCCTTCACCTTTGCTTTTCATGAAAAACACTTCCATATCTCGGTGCTAATATACATTACAATATTCCTCTTTCCATCTCTTTCTCCACATGCGTGGTAAGGTTAGGTGAGGAAAGAGAGAGAGAGAGTAAAACCCATCTAGGGTGGAAAAAATTCTTGAAAATTCCGAACCAAACCGAAAAAATCCTGATCCAAAACCAAAAATTTTTTAAATTGAAATTTCTGAAATTTTTGGGATGCTATCCCGAACCGATCTCGAAATTTCGATACGGGATTTGGGATTGGCTTCTCGATATTTCGGGAATCCCATACCGAACCGAAAATATATAATATTAATTATTATATATATTTATACATATATGTTATATATATGTATTATTCTTTTATAATTGATAATAGTAGTTTCTAATTCATGCTCCGCAACTTGGAATGCCCTACACCTTGCAAATTTTGCATGTTCTGTTTGATATTCATTTGGATTTTATTATTGCTACTGCCATGACTGATGATTTCAGAAGGCTTGATTCTTTTGTCTCTCAACAGATTGCAAAAATGGTTTAATTAATTTGAATTTTGACTTTGATAAAAACAGTCAGGCATGCCTAGATTAAATGGTAGTCAGGGGTGGATCTATATAGGGACCGGGGTGGTCCCGGGATCCTCCGAAGATAGGGAGAAACGCTTGTGAAGTACCATGGAGGACCACCCTAAACTTTAGATGGAGCTCTATGAAGGACTGGATGGGATAAATCATTGTGAAAAATAAAAATTAGGTATAAGATCCACAACTAAACTGGGTTTTCTTTGCCGGAGTTTGAATATGTAGTTGCAGAACTGGCTGGGTAAAGTGAATGAAGAAGACCGATTGTGTTTGCACTTCTGTCTTGTATGGAAACGGTACTGTTTTTGCTTTTTTTTTGTTTTTGTTTTTTTTTTCCTTCTTATCTCTTTTTCCAGTTGGACCCAATATCTTGTTTCTAAATATTTTTTTTTATCCCATTTTGCCGTTTGGCCCTTTTTTATATCCCTGCAATATATTGAAAGCTAAACATAATTGTAACCTTTTAAATTAATAGCCTTCACCTCATAATTATTAATATCTCATAAGAAAGAAAACCTTTTAATTTACTAGTATTCTTAAAAAAGAAAAAAAAACTTTCAATTTACTAGTTCTCAAGAAAATTGACACTAAATATTGTGGTAAGGCTTTTAATCTTTAAGGGCGTGTTTGTTACACCTCTTTAGGAGGGATTGGCTTGAACTACCTTAAGTAGGACTATAATCCTACGTTTGGTAGGTTGTGGGACTAAAATAAATGGGACTCGCCTCGACTACTAGTCCATGCGTGTTTCGCTAAACCTTTCAGCCTAATCCCATGTTTTAGCTTGGTATTACTATTAGCAAGGACTAGAAGAAGGAAACCAGGCCAACATCTATCCCCACTTTCACTTGCTAAACCCCCAGTCCATCCACGCTCCGCTTTCTTCTGCGGAGCCGTCACCATAGCTAGGCCGTTGGCGGTGCCCCACCTTCATCTTTTGTGTGACCAAGATTCGGTGCCGTCGAGGGAGGACGACGACGAGGTCGAAGAAGAAGAGATCGTCGACGACCAAGATTCGGTGTCGTCGAAGCTACTGAAAGGAATAGCGCTGCAGTCGCACACTCTAGAGCATTCTTGGACCTTTTGAAGTTCTGGTTTAATTTTGAGTTCTGGAGTTCTGGGATAATTTTGTTTGGTTGGTACGAAAACTTACATGGATTTTGTGTTGCAGTGTGGAGTTCTGGGTTTAATTTTGATGTTAATTTCTTTCATTTCCTTTTTTTTTGGGGTTTAATTTTGAGTTCTGGGTTAATTTTGTTAGGGCCTCAAAGTCTCTTTCTTAAAGGAATATACAGTGTGTGGTCTTTGTCATCACCGACATGCTTTGCTCATCTCAATTTTCTAGTGTTTTACGCTGCCCATATACAACGCGGCGTTGCATTTCTTTCTTAATTTCCTGTTCTCCTATAAACAAAAAATTGGGTCAATATTTTAGTCCGACACTTAATCTGGCACTGCACCAAACACTTCATTATTTTTATCCTGTTTAGTCTAAGCCAAGCCAGTCCAGCTTAATCCCTAAAGCTAGTCCAGTCCAAGATAGTCCGGTGCAACAAACGCACCCTAAAAGACAAAGCAGGGATGCCCATGTACACACAAAGTGCTCAATGAAGTGTTCATTTAAAAAATAGAGAAAAAAAATTACCCGCTACACACTATTTCCGTTTACAAAATCTTTAAATCTTTTATACTAGGACCACCTGAGGTTGAAATCCTGCATCCGCCACTGATGGTAGTGTGAATGAAATGACATTCCTAATTCACGAATGTGTTCTTGAATTATATATTTGAACAACAATTCATAATTTCATATTTCAATTTGGGATTCCCGGTTTGTCCCGAAATCCTGAAAATATTTCGGGATTTCCGAAATTTGGGATTCTCGAAAATTTGGTTTGGGATTGGTCTTCAAATTCCCGTCACAAAAAATTTCGGTTTGGGATTCGGGATACTAGTTTTGGTATGGTATCCCATACCGAACCACCCCACCATCAATGGCCACTGTTCAATCCGTGCGAATACTGGCAATAACCAAAGACAACCCGTCGTGTTGATCGACATTGCCAGAATTTTATCATTACCAGAAAGCCAGAATATTTATAGTGTTTGTGGTACTGCACTACAGAGCAGAATATATACATATTCACAAAGCAAAGAATAATAATCAAACTTGTTACTTAAAGGCACAACGTGGCTGCTTTAATTTGCCCATATGCTCTTTGAGTTTTTGTTATTTTTTTAGACTATATGTTGCTTCAATTCCCTAAAAAAATTCCCTAGCATTGCCGGGGTTCCTTAGTGACAAGGGACTAGATTTCTCTTTATTACAATCAATAGTTTACACTAAGGAGAATGAGGACGTTAACCATTAGAGCAATCCATCACTTGTAGAACGATATTTCATTTCACTAGCAAAGATAAGGAAAGAATATATGTGGGCTCATTCCATTAGTCCGAAAATTTTACACATAATTGTCAGCAACTAGCTAGCTAGCAACTTATTGGAAACAAAAGATGGAGTTGGCAAATTAGAATATATAGTTTTCATTAGATCACAATCCTAAGTAAGCAAATAAAATTAAGAAGTCCTCTGAACATGATCCTAGCAAGTGGCAATTAATTAGATATGTATACTATATTTAATTCAGTTTCAAACTTCTGCCTTGATTGTGGACATTGATAATAAATAAAATAACATATGCTCGGAATTATATTCTTTGCAATTGATTAGTTTAAACAAGGAGACTTTGCTCCAACTAGACCAAACTCTATGGTTTGTTTATTTGTTTTAATATAATTTTGATTAACCAACTCCATCGTTGGTTTCTAAGAACTTTCAAAGTGACTGACTATTTCCAAGTGATTATTTTTTCATATTAGTAAGTGAGATGTTGAAAGCATAAGTTTTTGTGATTCGTTAATTTCTTAGACAAGTAAAATGTGTCTGTAATAGATTTAGTGCTAGATTTTAGATATGTTCTAGTATTTAGGTTCGTGATTTGAAGGCTTGCACGTCAACGGCAATAAAAAGTAATCTGATTCCGTGAATGACTTAAGGTAAACTTCACATGCATCATTTTTGGAAAATATAATTTAAGTGTTAACATTTTATTAGGATAGTGAGATCAAATAAAATCAATTCCTGATATAAATCAATTTAGTTTACGGTTAAAGTATAATATAGATTTACTCAATTGTAGGCCGGTTAATTTGATTCTCACGTCCATTAAATAATGTTATATAGTTTTCCATCAGGTTTTCTATCTTTGCCAACCATAATTTTGTGCGAGAAAAAAAATTAAGGTAAGGAATTTGTATGCTAGGGTAGAGGAGTGAAATCCAAGTAAAATGCTTTCTTCTAGCTCTCATATCATCATTCATAATTTGTTCTAGCTCGCAGGCGAACCTTCGTGCGAAAACAAGAGGACACTGCGATATTTGAGTTTGTAAGTTGTGTCTTGTATGAGTCTTTGGGTTTGTTGTTTGCTCTTAGTGGATTATTTTCTGCCAGGGTACCCTGACTTTCTCCAGTATGTGTGGGGTTTTACCACATTAAAGAAATCCTCGTGTGTTCGTCGTATTTTATTTTCTATTTATTTACTGTTGCGCCACAAGTGTTTCAATCTTGCAAGTTTGGGTGTTTTTATTTGGGGCTGTTTATCTGTTTTGAGTTCCTCGATCCGTTTGCATTTACAAATCTAGATTTAGTGATATTTCTCTTCATTTAATTCATATGCATATGACGATGGCTTCTGAAAATCATGTTGAGTTTTATATCTATATATGATTGCTATTGTGTGGTTTAGTATTAATATCTTCTCCCTTTAAAAATAAAAAGGGGCAAGTTAATTGAAAAAGGGGACAAAAAATAGGCAATTGGCTGCACTTATTTGTATTAACCAAAGTAAAGGAACGTACATACAGATAGAGCCAGGTTTATTACGAATTGGTAAAGGTGAATACAAAAGCAAAATCATAACTATAAATTAAATAAAATAAATACAGCCTCATGGTATGTACTGCAAATGTATGGAACATATTCCAAGGGAATTATAAAAATCAACATATGAGCTAGCTGGTGACTAATGATCAATAGAAGAAAGCTGCCACGGCAATGAGCAAGAAGGTGTAGCCGCCACCAATCCTGGACGGGGCTGAGCTGAATGGAGGAGAAGCAGCGCCTGGCCCACTAGCGTAGGGAGTACTATGCGAGGAAGGTGCTATGGAACCGGATGGTGAGTCAGACGATGGTGGTTGGGCTGTGCTCCCGGATGTCACGTTAATGGCTAGCTTTTGGCCTAATAAGCAGCGCCGATCGTAGGTGGATATGAAGAAATGCTCACCGGTGGTGTTGAGAAGGATACTCACTGGACTATTTTTGTAAACGGCGATAGTGCTGTTGGTGGTGCAGTTTTCGTAAGCTGACTTGGTCACCGTAGCCACATCGTCTTGTGTCCCATTGACAAAGTTGAAAACTACAAAAGCAAGAAAGTAAAACATTGTCAAGGAATTAATAATTTATATGTAAGCAACAGAATTTGATTAGCGTTTAATTAGTCTAGTTATGAAACAGTCGTCGATAAATTTACGTTATCATCAACATCGATATAGTTACCTAGAGTGTCTCCGACAATGAAAGTCTTGCCATAGGCCCAAGCTTCATAAGCATATTCACCGCCTGGTAGGACAAGCCAACCCAATTTATCACCAACGACGTAAGTCACTGGTCCTGATCTGGGTGCAGGGCTTGGAGCAGGTGATACATGTTCCGCAGTCACGTTAATGGCCAGCTTTTGTCCCAACTCGCAGTGCTTGTCCTTGGTGCCAATGAAATAGTACTCTCCAGTGGTGTCCAAAGTGAAGTTGGCCGGACTGGTTGTTATAAGTTTGATGGGGTCTGTCGAGTTGCACTTGTTGAAAGCTTCCCTTGTGACCCTCGCTACATCCTGGTCACCGTCGGTAAAGTTGAACACTGAAAAATGAACAACATAAATTCATCAAACACAGGTCTACTTGGAAATGCTTTCGTAAAAAATATTTATACTCAGAAGCGAGTGCTTCTATTAGAAGCATATCAAACTTTCTGAAGCAAATACAAATGTTTTTTATTTTTTATTTTTGACAAAGCACTTCAAATACTTTTTGAAGAAATTATTGCTGTGTTTCGTTAAAAAAAAAAATTTCAAATGCTTTTCTTAACCCATAAACATTTTAAACTTTATCTGCCAACCGTTCTTAGAATAGTCTATTGTGATACGAAATCGTTTAATCTAAAAGCACTTCAAAACATTTTAGCTAAAAATTGCTAAAAATAGTGAAACTTGAGTATATATGTTACATACCAAGAAGGTCACCAACGGCGAAATGCTGCGTAGCTGCCCAGGTTTCATAAGTGTAGTTACCGCCGGGAGGAACCAGCCACCCGAGAAGTTCTCCAACGACATGGGTTTTCTGTGCTGCAGTGGAGTGAAGCAGACCAACCACTGCTATGGCTAGAATGGCTATTGTGAGTTCTCTTCCCATATTGTCTCTTCGTATTTTGTAACTGCTTTTTTCTTTGTTTTGCTCTCTTGTTTTTATGTACTAGCGTCTGTTTATGTGAAAAATGAGATTTGGGTTGTGATCTTTTTATAGAGGTTAGAAGGAAGAAGTTATACGGAAGCTTCGGTGATACTTTGACAAATGATATAGCAAAATTGCTTCCCCAATTTTCTGCTCGACCAACTTCTTCAAGGATGTCTAGAACCTAAGGACCAATTTACAATTGACGTGGACCCAGTTTGAATAATTAAATGCTAACGTGCTTGAATGCCCTTAATTACATCTTTTAGTTAGATTATGTGCTACTTGTCTTGAAAGAAATGAAAAAAAAGAAACAAATCAATAGCATATTCCATTTGTATTTGTTAATTTTGCATAAATAAATACAGATGGGATGGTAAGATAAAACACTAATTAGCTTGTTAATTTGTAAATGAAATCTTATTATTCATGATTTCTCTTTTATAGATTTCTTTGTGCAAAGATCAAAACCCTAGTGTGTAATTTCCTTTTAATTTTTTTATTATGCAGCCAAGATTAACGAGCTTGAAATGATCCACGATCTTCAGTGTAGTTAACGCGTTTTTGACCATCTCTAGTTATCTTCTAAAAGACCTTTTTATTTGCCCTGCATATAATTTGATATAGTTTTAAAACCCAGCTAGGATAAAGAGGTCAGAGTTCTAAACTTTTGATTATCTAGTTCTTGCCTGGAGATTGCTCTACCTCGATTCTGTGTGACCAAATTTCCAAGAATAGCATCATCTTTGCCATGACAATATTGAGATTATCTTACCTTTAATGACAACAGAAGTTTTATGCCGCCATTAACTTTATATTATATTTATTCAAGGGGTGATTTGTTTAAGTCACAAAATATTTTTAGCACTAGAATTGAATCAATCAACATTTGTGCTCTTCACAAGTGTCAATAAAAGAGAAATACTAAAAAGGGTACGTAGTGATCTTGGTTGGAGAGGAAAGTTGGTTTTATTGGCCTTAGTTGAAGAAATAATTAAATTTATTGACGTATTCTAAAGAATCAAATAACACGTATACGAAAATATAAAATTATTTATTGATCTAAACTAATTTTTTTTGTTGAAGAATTACTAGTCCATTATTACTGCATGATGATCGCCATTCCAACAAACATGCGTACACTATCTCTGTTACATCTATGATGGAAATAATTCTTTAATTCCTGCATTAAAATAATAATATCACCAATATATTGATTAAAATAAATCATAAGAAATTCAAAGTTTGCTATCTCATAGTGTGTGTATATATGGGATGTCTGTGTGTGTTTGTGGGTGTTGGTTAGGTGGAGGGGGAGGGGGTTTCTTAATTTCAATGTTGTAATTCCTAGCAGATACGCAAAGACAAACTTGAGTAGGTCAAGGTCGAATCAGAAAACAGGAATCATTATTAACCGAAAATTAAGATATCTAATTGCAAATGGGTCGTAATCAAATACTTTGTCAGCTTATAAGAAAATTATATACAACATGCAGACCAATGATGTGGAGTCTAGAGTTGGTGGACAAATCAACCTTTGGTTGTTGGGCTTTCCTATTTCAGTTCCATTCATTATTTATTATGCGGATTAATATTAGACGAATGCGACGAGAGTTGAAATTCTGTATCGGGGTATTAAATTAAGGACAACTTTGTATTTATTTTAAAAGGTTCGGTTACTTCTCGTATTATTTATAATTAATTTTTTGGTGAAATATCAACTTCTTTCATGTTATTATAGTCACGTTGCCAATGTGTTGAGCCTAACGGCCAACATGCTCTCGTGACATTCAATATGTGTTGTCCACGTTTTAAGATTAGATGACCATACATCTGAGGACAATGTTGAGAGTGCAAATCTCCCACCAGAGAATTCAAGCACCTTGCACATCCTTATAAGAAGTTGAACTACATTCTATATTGTCGATTAGTTTTACAGTAAAACATCAACTTAAGGTGCTATTTAAATGTGTCTCTCTCAGCCACACTTCTAGAAAATAAATAGAAGAAACATCAGACCAATGTATCAATTAAAACTTTTTATACCAAGTTTTGATTTTAAGGGCACTAAACGTGGAAATAATTCAGCAATTTTTTTCTTAATTAGAACGTGAGAAGACGACTTCTAGAAGCGCATATATATTATGAATCTTGCTTTGTTTGGCCGGTCATCATTGTCATATTGTATTTCGTGAGCGGTGTGAACAGGGCATCAATTTGTTATGCTTCAGAACCTTCCTCCCAAAACCCCATCTTTAATTTAATGATTTGCCAGAGTTTTCCAACTGGGCGGCTTCTAGGCTCAAACAATATGTATATGAAACTAGCCTTGTTTAAGGGCTGGTTTGATATGCTATGCTTTGAGAAAAAACCACTTCTGTTGTGCTGTGAGAATAAGTTCATTTTTGCTACTTCACATTTTTAGCTTTTTTTTCATCCAAAATTGTAAAAATAAACTGTTGTTAAGTGTTTACCAAATACCTTTTTGAGCTCAGCTTTTTATACCTACTTTTTATAAAAGCATCTCGGTATCAAACCAGTACTAAGTGGTTCTGTAATATTGAATTCATTTGATTCCTCAGTACCAAACCAGTACTAAGTGGATCTGTAATATTGAATCCATTTGATTCCCCGGCCTCTAGGCATAACAATTTTTCTATTCTGTTAAATTGATATCTCTGTTATATCTAAATTAAGTAAGTTTTTTTTCTTTCTGTTTTTTCTAATTTATTTTTAAGTAATTCGTTAATTAATTTGCATCAGCTTGAATCTTAAATTTCTTGGCTTAATTATGAGCTTAACACAACTCCGGTTAATTAAAGACTATATCCGGTACCATGATCCCTTTAAAGTACAAATGTTTTCTTCTGAGCCTTTACTTGTGAGGTGTCAAATAATGCACCCATGATGATGCTACAACAAGTTTAATAATTCTGATCACCAATTAGTCAATGAGCAAAGATTGTCTGCCCTCCCACTTTTGGTGCTCTTATGTTTTGTGTGGTCACGGTTAAGCCACGTCAATATTTTATATTGTTTTTTTTATAGAGATAGGTCGTACCCAGTGCACAAGGCTCCCGCTCTACGCAGGGTCTGGGAGAGGTGAATGTCGGCTAGCCTTACCCCCATTTTTTTTACAGAGAAAGGTCGTACCCAGTGCACAAGGCTCCCGCTCTACGCAGGGTCTGGGAGAGGTGAATGTCGGCTAGCCTTACCCCCATTTTATGTTTGTGTGATCAAGCCACGTCAATATTTTATATTACTATTCATTTTTATCTTATTATCTCTATAAAAAAAACTATCTCCAACCGAGGGCCAAAGGGCCATAGGGCCAAACATAATTTATTATTTAAAAACTATAACTTAAATGTTGTTTAACTTTCATGTTGTTAAATGTTTTTTTTATGTTGTATAATTTTTATGTTGTTTTATGTTACTTAATTTAATTTAATTAATGTTGTATAATGGCTTAGGAAGTTATAGGAAAAAAATAGAATAAAAAAATACGAAACAAATTTTGTGAAATAGAAGTTATAGGAAAAAAATAAAATTTAAAATAAAATGAAACAAATTTTGTTAAATAGAAGTTATAGGAAAAAATGGAATTTAAAAAAAAAATATATGAAACAAATTTTGTAAAATAAAAGTTATAGAAAAAAAAAGAATTTAAAAAAAATGAAAAATAGAAGTTATAGGAAAAATTTTGTAAATAAAAAATAATAATAAAACTGTTAAAAAAAAATCAAAGTATTCAACCGACAGGAATACATGCATATTATTTAGTATAAATGTATTATTATCGGTTATAACCGACAGGAAATCCGACACATTTAAAAAAAATTTGGCCAGCCCAGGGCTGACTGGTTGGCTGGAAGTGGCCAGCCCTTTGGCCCTCCAGCCCTTTTCGATTCCGTGGGGCCTCCTCAGATTCCACAGCCCTCTAGCCTGGCCCTCGGTTGGAGACAGTTTTCGGACTATTTTTGGCCTTCTGACCATTTGGACCATTCGGTTGGAGATGGCCTCACGGATGGTTACTGAAATCATGTTCTTTTGCCTTGCATGACTTTCATAGACACAAATTTGTTGGGGATGGTCGCATGAGCTTGAACAGAAGCAGTTGGACTTGGACTTGGGGGAGTGGTTGAAGACGGAGCGAAGTAAATAGCTACCTTTTGCCCTCTGGGCAGTGCCCGGCCAAGGTGCTCGTGAAATAAAACGTGTCGCTCCCGGTAAATTTAAGCATTGATGGTTCATTGAAATAAAACAAGGGATTCGAGGTGTTACACGTATCAAAATCTTCCTTAGTTATTATAGCCAAGTCATCTTCTCTTGCAGTGAAGTTAAATACTGCATGTACAAACAACAATATAATTAGCCTAATTCTATGTTGTTTTATCTAGAGAAGTTAATATTGCCTAATCTTTTAATTTATTTATATATAAAAAAAATATAATTATGTGATCGTTGTAAATATGTATTAGTTGTTTCAGATGATGACAAATGCACGTAGATTAAGGTGCCTAAGTTGGCTAAGTTTGTTATTGACAGTTAGCTTACTTAGTGACTAAGGAAAACCTTGTCTATATATATCTATGTACTAATGTAAAATGATGATGATGAATATACAAGATACAATTCTCTCTCTCTCTTTAAAACTGTTATTCTCTCTCAAATGTCTCTCTATCTCTATCAAGAACTTGTATGGAAAACAAACGTCTCTCTGCAATCTGACATGGTATCTTCGCCGGTGCTAGAGGTCTTCCGATCCTGTGCTGCTTCTTGCTTCTACCTTCTTGATCTGTATGTTTTGGTGTGATCTTTTACTCTCATCTCTTTCCTCATTGAATTGCGACTTCTCTTTTCTGCTAAGTTCGCCTGTAAAGTTTATGCAACATTGTGCTCACCAACTGTCCGATCAATTGTGTGACTAAAAGTTTTTGAATCGATATCAGTTTTCTTCTTTCGAATTTGTCTCTGAGTTGAATTCTTTAAGTAATTCTGCCCAATTTTCTTTCTGAAACCCTAATTCTATGATTCTTTCACG